AAATCCGTTCAATATCAGAAAAGCTTAATCATAGTTTAGAGGGAAGGAATGGTTCGAGAACTTTGCGAGGTCGTAGTTCAGCCCCATCCATGATGATGATGAGGAACAATGCAGCCACTGTGAATGGTTTTGCATCACCTGAACCTGAAACCGCCTTCACTAATGGTGATTGTTTTAATATGAGACCGAAAGCGGTTCGATCACTCTCAACCATCTCTGGACGGGTTTCGGGTAGGCCTATTTTGATTACATTGGTCATTTGCTTCTACCCTCATATTCACTTGCTCGTTTCTTATACAATATTATGAATAAATGCATGAGATGTCGTAGCACTTGTGTGTGTGTGTGTGTGATTGTAGTAATGATTAAAGAAATAATCACAAATGAATGGCATTGAAATTGCAATCCAACAAAACGGTTGATCATATTCGAGTAAAAATTAAAGTGTTACGAGAAAAAAATTACAACAGTGACATTATAACTTGAAATTGCAATAATAAGAATAAAGATTAATCATTGTTGACGTGCAAAAGAAGTGTTGACTTGTTGACGTGAAATTAATTAAATACTAATCATTGTTCATAATAAACCTAAGATATCTTCCTGTTGCAGCCAATCACGACGATCGACCATTCGGCAGTACTTTCACGCTACGTCCACGCCGAAGTACAGAATTCGTTGATCGTGATCCGATATCTGATGAATCAAGATGTGATTATTTGGATTTGTTAGATCTTGGTTCATTGCAGCAGTCCAAATCCGAGCATGAACTCACATCGGTTGCTAAGGGTACTCTACAAGCAGCACAGCCCCTACGAGGAGCACAGCGACCGCATTTCGGTAGTGTTGAGTGTATACATCGAGAAGATATTCGTTACTTACATTCTTAATCATCAACAATGTAACTAATTTACTGTGTTTTCTCGAATGTGATTGTTCAAATTCCATGCACTTCGCTTTACATTTGTGTTTTTATGCTCGTCGCAATGTGTGTAATATTGCATCTTAACGATTCGTTTCCATTTCTATTCCTTACTTTGACGTATTCATTTTCTTAAGCTTGGCGCTTTCCGATGAATTTGCGACAAGATTTGATTTATGATCAAATTTGATGGTTTCAATGGGCCTAAGAACTAAGCACTTCAACCGGTTACCAACATCGCTTTCACTATATGTCAGAGCAAAACGATAAGCGGATGACGATGTAAATATTGATATTTTAAATATGTATTATACAGAAGGTTTGCTGAAAATATCCTTTGAAAGAAATTCTATTGTAACGATTAGTTCGCGGAAACTTGCTCTTTCTACAGACATATCTACCACTTTAGAGCAGGAAGGTCCAATAAAATTCACTTATTTTGCTGTACCCAATGACGCAGGAATATTTGTTTGTTTTCGCTAATTCTGTGCAGTGTTTGAAACGACAGCACCTCGATTTTGAAAGGTGCAACCGAAAAAAAAACCACAAAGGAAGTTGGTTAAATAAAACTCAGATTCTAAAAATGGCTCAGTCTAACGTTCTGATGGCCGAAAGTATTTGTTAGAAGTGCTGTGTCTTCAAGGACGGATCCCTTGCAAGTGTGACTTTCATGTAGTCTTCGTAAGATTTTTCGACGACACGATTCCACCGCTTCTCATTGGCAAATGTATAACATCAGCAAGAAACCATAGCAAAAGGATGCTTTTTGATTGTACGGCAATTTCACTTGACCAGAACTTCAGTCAATATGTTGCAAATTTTCAAGAAACAACGAATTCTAGGAGATTCTTTTATTTCATTTGGAACAGTTTTTAGGATCATAAAGGTTTTAAATGCTGGAAATCCAGAAGCAGCTCGGCACACATGGTCAAAACCATCTGTATTGAATAATTACGTGTTAATTGTGATCGTCTAAAAGCGTACAGCTATTCATAAAGGATAGTTTCTTGATACTATACAACTGAAAGCGAAATGATTTCAGTTTTGCAGTTTGAGTATTTTGTCGAGTGCTTCCTGTTCGTGAGCTTGCATGTATTTGTTGATTTCAGCAGTCACATGCTTAGGAGTCTTGCTCATCACGACCTTCATTGCGGCCTTAGCTTGAGGTACCGTTTGACCCTTGTTCTTCACCACTGCGGCCATCTGATTGATCGCATCTTTTGCTTCAGGGCTGAGCGATGAGGATTTAACTCTGATCAATGCTTGCTGGATCAAATCCTTCAGTCCCTTTCCGAAGTGATCTAGTTTTGCCTGAAGTTGCGTTGTTTTTATTACTTGTACACTCGACATTCCAAATTTCCAGTCTCACTGAATTTTCGATGTTCAAGTCCCCTCGCAAAAAATTCTTATTCATTGTACTTATAGAACTGTTGAGCTGTGAAATGGTTTCAGTCATTCACATCTGAGCTCTCAAAAATTTTAAATCATCCGGAATACGATTGCATTGCAGATTAAATACTTTTAAGAAACATCTCATGAAAGTAAATCTTTTTATGAGAATGATTTCGAATAATCGAAGTCAATTGAAAATCAATCAGTTATGCCGCTGGTGAGCGTTGACTTCTAAGGTTTCTACGCAATTCGTGTGGACTCAGCAGTAAACGATCCAATCAACACAACATTCATCAATGTAATTGCAAAGAAAAAAGAATTATTCAAAAGAACAGTCTATCCTCCGTTAGTTCGATCGTGAAACCAGTTTGATGTTTTGCGTACGAGTGCAACAAAGATCAATCATTATTACAATATCAGATGCTCACTCATAATTCACTTTTCAATCCATCATGAAATGATTTTTGCATGAGTTTTTTTTCGCAACCCCGGTGGAACCGCATTATTTTGCATGATATCATGGCATCAAATGCGACAAAATACATGAAGTAAAAACAACGCAAGACCAGCTCGGAACGCTAAAAAGGCATTCAAATTAGATTAGGAAA